ATTACTAAACAATCAGCTCACGCGATAACATTGCACGACACTGACCGACGGTACTGACTTTCTACAACTAACTGGCTAACAGCTCTAGCACATCTTGGATGCGCACTCCAACAGCCTTCCAACTTGGAAGGTTCTAAATTATAGAAATACCATAAGGAGGAGAAGGTGAGCGCAACCAAGATAAGCACGACCTGACAGTCTCAGCTGTGAAGGACGTTGGCCTGCTTATTGTCCATGTAAATTGTCATAGTCGAAGTACAGAGCTGTTTTACTGAGGCGTTCGGTTTTTCATGATTCTTGTTCGCATAGCTTCCCCTTTTATTGATCTAAATAATCGACGTGGAGACAACAATTTTATAATAGCAATAAAAGAACAAATTCTGCAGTCATCGCCACACTACAACGAAGTCATGAAAGTTTACCAGAATTAATTTTCTTGTCACATTCATCAGTGGAAAGTCGTGACTGAAGAGTAACCATGCTGAACAATGATTAAATATACATTCAATGATGTGTTGCGAGAACAAAATACAGTGCCAAAATAGAAAGAGGGAAGGTGAGACAATAGCAGTGAAGTGAGAGCTAAGTGCAACGGTGGGTGAAAAACTAATAATTATAACGCTAAAACTGTGTAGTGAGACAAACAATCATGCTGTGCACCTACGAAAACAATTTTAACGCAACTACATGTTTCTTCTGCTTACAAAGATCAGGCTTATGCAAACGAATACAAACAGCCTCAAGTACTTTCAACTGACTAGCATACCGTGCACGACAAAGAACAGAAAAACTAAAATCATCATACACCTGCAGACACTTAGGGTGAGACAACAAGTGAAGAAAAACGGCAGACTTCTTACGATCACAATCACCATCTGATTCCTCGTCTCCAACAACCGCAACCTCGTCCTCCGTTTCATCTCCCAACTCGTCCTCAGTATCGTCCTCCGTGTCATTCTCCTCATCAACACTGATCGGTCCCAGGCTCGTTTGACGTTGTTTAACCTCTGTTCGTTGACTCCTCCTTTGATCTTGATGGCAACTTTTTTGTTTGTTTGTTTATTTAGAGTCGAAGAACAAACAGGCAACTTGTTACCATTGTTGTTGTTGTTGTTGTTGTTGTTGTTGTTGTTGTTGTTGTTGCTGTTAAATCTTGTGTTCCCAGTGTCCTCGCCGGTGCTTGATCTCCAGTACTGTAATAATTCATTGAATAATTAGCCGTTGATCGTCTAGGTCTTTGAATGTTGATTGTGTTACTTTCTTTGTTGAATTCCGTTCCCTTCAGCCTTCTTTCTCGTTGTTCACAATCAGTGCTTGCCTCATCCATATATGCACGTGCCACCGACACCACAGACTCAGCCCCAGCACCGCCGATGATAGATGTAGGTGGCGGTTCTGGGGGAGGCAACGGCAAAGACGGCGATGAGGGCATTACCTCATCACAGCGTCCACTTTGGTCTTGAGCTGAATGTTGTTGTGGTGTGTTATCTTGTGTTGTTATGGTGCATTGTGTTGTGGTGACAATATGCCCATTACCCGACTCCAAGGCTCTCGATACGGGTAATGGATCGTAGGTGCACAGCATGATTGTTTGTCTCACTACACAGTTTTAGCGTTATAATTATTAGTTTTTCACCCACCGTTGCACTTAGCTCTCACTTCACTGCTATTGTCTCACCTTCTATTTTGGCACTGTATATTGTTCTCGCAACACATCATTGAATGTATATTATTTTAATCATTGTTCAGCATGGTTACTCTTCAGTCACGACTTTCCACTGATGAATGTGACAAGAAAATTAATTCTGGTAAACTTTCATGACTTCGTTGTAGTGTGGCGATGACTGCAGAATTTGTTCTTTTTGTTGCTATTATTTTATTGATCTTCGCATCTTTTGAGCCACACAAGTTGTGTGGAATGTTGCTTTGCGTTCTTGAATCGTGATTTGACCGTATTGTCCAATGGTCTTGCCAGTATCGTCATCGACATGCATGAACATCCGCCGACGTCCTTCATGGAATAATATATTCCGTGATTTCGCGAGCATAAATCCGCCGGAGGCTACTACATGTACATGTATGTTCAAAACCGGGCTTTTCCGAATAGTAAAACTTGTATTGCTGGTCAGGTGACCCGCTTGGCCTGACCATCCGAAATCCCAGCGCTAGGACTGCTTGATGTGATGCACATCATGTCATCATGGGGTAGTTTCACTATAACAGTCTACCATGGTCTATTACTACATGTACAATGTACATACTTATTACTACATGTACAATGTACATACTCATTACTACATGTACAATGTACATACTCATTACTACATGTACAATGTACATACTCATTACTACATGTACAATGTACATACTTATTACTACATGTACAATGTACATACTTATTTTTTTTTTTTTTTTTTTTTTTTACGGGGTAACGGCCTCTTTTACGGGCAAAATAAAGTCATGTAGACGTGAAAAAAAAAATTGAGATACCATGAAAGTTAAAATAGAATTTTATTCAAGTACAATACATTGGGAAACTCCAAGAAATTCCACGTAAAACGGACGGAATTCAGTTTTCAATGGCCGATGCCTACCCCAGCACCATCCTGCGTCGACAGGCCTGTCAGGCGCCTTCTAGACCCGCGTAGCCGGAGGTCGACTGCATGGATCACAGCAAATTGGCTGCGAACTCGCACCCAAGCCATGATGATAGAAAATGGCTTGTCCCACTTGAGGGCGAGGCGACCAGCAAGTCGCTTCTGATAGCTGGCGTATTCGCGATGTAGCACCCCATCCGTGGAACAAACCAGTGGTGTGAACGACCCACGGAGGTCCTCGGAGGCCTGACGATACTTCTTTTTCTTCGCGTTAGCAGCGCGGTTGGAAGTAGCTTCCCAGGATGAATGGGAGTAACTGGGTGCGTTGGCATCAATGATGCGATTATCAAAAAACGCCACCCTGTTATCCTCCCACACACCCCGGGCAAGCCAATCTGCCCGAAGAGCAGGCTGCCCCGTCCGATCACCCTCCGGCACCATGATCGGCTCGACGACAACACCACCTACATACTTATTACTACATGTACAATGTACATACTTATTACTACATGTACAATGTACATACTCATTACTACATGTACAATGTACATACTCATTACTACATGTACAATGTACATACTCATTTTTTTTTTTTTTTTTTTTACGGGGTAACGGCCTCTTTTACGGGCAAAATAAAGTCATGTAGACGTGAAAAAAAATTGAGATACCATGAAAGTTAAAATAGAATTTTATTCAAGTACAATACATTGGGAAACTCCAAGAAATTCCACGTAAAACGGACGGAATTCAGTTTTCAATGGCCGATGCCTACCCCAGCACCATCCTGCGTTGACAGGCCTGTCAGGCGCCTTCTAGACCCGCGTAGCCGGAGGTCGACTGCATGGATCACAGCAAATTGGCTGCGAACTCGCACCCAAGCCATGATGATAGAAAATGGCTTGTCCCACTTGAGGGCGAGGCGACCAGCAAGTCGCTTCTGATAGCTGGCGTATTCGCGATGTAGCACCCCATCCGTGGAACAAACCAGTGGTGTGAACGACCCACGGAGGTCCTCGGAGGCCTGACGATACTTCTTTTTCTTCGCGTTAGCAGCGCGGTTGGAAGTAGCTTCCCAGGATGAATGGGAGTAACTGGGTGCGTTGGCATCAATGATGCGATTATCAAAAAACGCCACCCTGTTATCCTCCCACACACCCCGGGCAAGCCAATCTGCCCGAAGAGCAGGCTGCCCCGTCCGATCACCCTCCGGCACCATGATCGGCTCGACGACAACACCACCGAATGCCATATCAGCTAGCTTTGCATCGCTATCACGCAGATCATTGTGGCCTCGCTTGATAAGTCCACCTTTCGGGCAGTCAAGGCCATGCTGGAGAGAGAAAGGCTTCCCGCAACCATCACATTGCGCTGGCAGGGCAAGCGGCTGCCGACCATAGCGGATGGCAAGTTGATCGCGGAATTCTGTACTCGACAGATCATACCCCTCGCGCTTCAGGGGCAACACCGTAAGCCATCCGGAGGCATTTCCCCGTACGATGCGGGAGAGGGTGCGCTCCTCAAGCTGTGGCAGGTCACTGAGAATTGATTGGCTGATTTCAGCGGAAATCACATCTCGTTCCCTGCTGATTTGGCTTGTGATGCGGCGACAGTGAGCGCTGTGGTCATTTACGTTTACGGGGTTACCAGATTGGATTGAGTTGCGCAGGATGTCAGTAGCGTTTCTCGAATTCTGGTAAGCCTGGGGTGCTGTGTGGACAGGATCGGCCAAAGCCAAGCCACCATACTTGACTGGCAGGGTGAGGAGCTGGTGTTCCCGAGGAAGAACCTCCCGCCCAAGGATGGCTGGGGCAAATTGCTCCAGGATGACGTCTCGAAGCGGAGCAAACTCCTCCTCAAGACCCTGGACAACACGCTGCAGGTATGACCACTCACATGAGAGCGAGCGATTCAACGCACAATACGCCGACTGGGGGTGTTTCCTGGCAGCAGCGGCAAGGCAATTGACACTGCTCACCCACGTCTCCACTCTCTCCTTGACAAACGATCTCACTCCGTCAGGTTCACCGATACAGCCTCCTAGAAAATACTCATTACTACATGTACAATGTACATACTTATTACTACATGTACAATGTACATACTTATTACTACATGTACAATGTACATACTCATTACTACATGTACAATGTACATACTCATTACTACATGTACAATGTACATACTCATTACTACATGTACAATGTACATACTCATTACTACATGTACAATGTACATACTTATTACTACATGTACAATGTACATACTTATTACTACATGTACAATGTAGATACTTATTACTACATGTACAATGTACATACTCATTACGTGTTTGGAGAATGCATGGAAAACCACTGTTCACGGGTGTTCGATTTTTATTTTATTTTAATTCACTCAACTCGTGGTACATGACCAATTGGCACACAAAGTGCGAGAAAGGGGTGGTATCCAAGAATAGCAAGAAAATAAATAAAGGAAAAGAGGCGAAGGAAAGGTAAACAAGCAGGAGAGATTTGATAACCGCAATCAATAAGACAAGCTGAATCGAAATTTGTGTATACTGTACTTTGTTCATGCAATGTAAAACGGTGGAGACAATGTGCAATAAAACGATGAAAATAGATTTACATGTAGTTTAGGTCGTTGCCTCAGCAGTACATGTACATGTATAATTATATACAACGTCAATGTAGAAAAAAAAGAGAGGGGGTAACAGAATACAACATAAGAGACGCTTTACACTACAGGGTTCTCTGATCATGAATTTGGTATTTTCTATCTGAACACGTTGATTTAGCTTTGCCAGTACAATCAATCCGTCGAGATAGCAAAGAAAAAAACTTCCTAATGCCAAGCTCTGGCCAATGCGCATCAGCTGTTGCGTTTCCGTATCTTTATTCTACAGTGTACATGTAAATGTATTTTTGAAGTGGTATGCCTCAAAGTTGGAGGTTGTCAAGGAGACTTGAACTACGAACATACATGTACTATCTTGTAGAAAGAAAGTGAATTCGTTAGCGGAGATGTGCAGAATGCTTCAGAAAATTCAAGAAATACAGCAAACCAGGGGACACAAACGTAATTTACATGTACTGAAGTACATACGCCTTCATACTGTTATGGACAAGAATGAAGCCCGCACTTTAGAATGTGTTGTAAATCTGGGTGAGACGTTCGTGCTGAGAGAGAGAGAGAGGGGGGGGGTCTGTAATAAGAGACAATTATTTTCATACAGTACAAGCCAAGTGCAAGAATAGCGATGAGAGGGATATGCAATGATAGTTGAACAAGAATCTAAAAAGAATCTACATACATACATGTACGGTAGTAGTAGTAGTAATTGTGTTTCTTATACACTGTGCGCTGGTGTACGTACAATGTACTCTGTGTACTCTGTGCAAATGTCCGTCAGGCGTTAGCTTGCTGGGTCTCAAGGTCGTTGGGGATTTCACTGAAATTTGGTCGTTCCGTGGCGGTGGGTCGCAGGCACGCTTCCACCAGGTGACGATAGTCGTATGGCATGCCAGGTGGTAGTGGCAGCTGGTGGCCACGGGCGATTGCTGCCTCCACCTCTCCCTCGCCCTTAAGATGGACATACGGTGTTTGGCGAGTGAATATCTCCCACAGCACCACGCCAAAGCTGTGCAGGACGTGACAAATCCGGAACAAAACATCAAAGGAGAAGAGAGAGAACGTTAGAGGAGAGAATGATGAGAGAACGCTTGGGGGAAAGGGAAATATAGAGACAAACAGACGGACAGACATACAGACTGACTCACAGACGGAGGAGAATAGGCGGACAGAGGGTAAAAGGCGGATCCCACAACAGGAGAAAGACTAGACCGATTGATACTGGTATATCTATTTTTTGCGTTTCGACGATTGTCTCCTTGAGAAAATTAATCATTGTTTTAATATTCTGAAGAAAACAATCATCGAAACGTTAGTATACCAGTATCAATGAGTCTGGTTTTGCTCCTGTTGTGTGGTGCGACTATTCTCCGTTGCAGTTCTTAAATCCCTTGTCCGGACCTGTGCTGGTGTGGCATCGTATGAATATCAAGTTATTTCCAAGCCAGACAGACAGACAAACATACTTACAGACAACCAGACGGACGGACAGACAGACGGACTGACAGAAAAACAAATCGACAAACTGACGGACAACGGGTCTATATATCACCACGGTGGAAAACCAGACCACTTAAATTAACATGAACATGACAAGACAGTATGGATACTACGAGTCGTGGCTGTGAGACAGGCAGGCAGCCAGGCAGGCATAGTGGGATGATCTAAGACCATCACTGACAAACAGGGACACTCGCTTCACGTCCTGCTTGAAGGGCAAGAATTCTTCCAGCTGTGCTGCGACCTACAATTATCGGTTATTGGGAACATTTTAGGCCTTTCCCAAATCGGCCATTTATTTTGTCCTATTCGGCTTTTCGATCGACTGAAAATTTCTGTAAAAGGTGGAAATTCGGCTCTAAAGTCGCAGCCACCTTTCGCAGATAATGATTACAGAAATTGTATTTGCATGCTATTGAGGCACTAAAACATCAATTTTCGGTCAATTCAGTGCGAAAATTCCGTATTCGGCTAAAAGATCGGTGATTTCTTCAAAACCACTATTTGGGAAATGCCCACGGGCCGTGACGCAGGCGCGGTCATGCCCAGTTGCTCACGACCCTGCAAAACATATACATTCGGCGATTTCTTGGTAAAATCTCAGAATTCGGCCATAAGATCGGTGATTTTCTGAAAAGGCTAATTTTCGGCGAATTTTTCGGCCGGCCGATTTGGGAAAGGCCTAGAACACGTGACCTGAGACTGAGGAAAACATGCTTGCAGCGAACTGGATTTTCGGTCATCATGATGGGTCTGATCTACTCAGCGCCCATGGCTTTAGGAGCTGCAGCTGCCCCTTTACCCGTTTTCCTTGAGGGTGATGGTGGTACTACAGATAAGGATGCGAACACCTCCGTCTGACGGAACCCCACTTGAAGCGTGAAAGTACTTCTGAGTATTCGTCTGAGCTACATGTATCTTCCGTCGAGCGTTATTTACTGTACTGTGTAAGGCGACTGTGCTGGGATAAAGTGACATAACAGAGTGGCTTGACATCTTTGTCATATGACTCACTTTTGCTTGGGTCGTGATCATGACACAATGCATGTGGACACTAGAGATAATACGATTGCCAGTATGCGACACATAGATGCAGCTAAGGGGGCAGCCTACCCATAAATTTCATATGGCATTCAATTGACTGCAACTTTGGTGTTTCTCAATGGATTTGAGTGAAATTTTGACCACACACTCCTGCCACTATGCTGGCCCTCAGGTTCTTGCGCCTCACTGACAGGCTTTCCAGGTCGGAAAAACTCAAATTTCCGGCATAGTGCCACGGTGTGCGAGCCACCCAGGAGCCAAACAAATGCATTTACAATTTTTTCACATTTTCGGCCCATTCTGTCCGTGCGCGGGACCCAAACCTAAAACACGTCCAGAAGCAGCCATGGGTGGTGGGCTAGGGCCCCTCAACGTGGCCCTGGAATCTGTCACAACGGAACGAGTGGGCGTTCCCTCACAGACTCCCACAGACGCAAGTCAATTTTTGAATTTTTTAAGGTTTAGCACGTGCTACGAGGTCGTACCTTTGATACAACATCCAGTGCTGGGACGTCCACAGCAAGCCATTTCCACAGCGCTGCACACCAAATCCAGGATACCCTCAGAAACCGGCAAAGACTACCACTCACGTTCCGCTACTGCCTAGTACTGAATCCTACCTGACTTCTTGACACGACTCAAACTTGCCAAAGTCACTAAATCAACGTCAACTACAATAATCAAGCCACATATCTGCAACATCACGAGGGTGCTGGCAAAAGTCCTGCTGCACGGCGGCGGGCAAAGCCCGCCGCGGTGCAGCCCAATACGTGGCTCAAAAACGTGATTTTTGGACTTTTGGGTAGTCTGCCACCTTAAGGGTTGACTGGAGTTGTAACAGATATGGCTGTCCCGTATGATTATGGTTGCGCTACAGAACTTTTTGCATCTTCTTCTTTATCTGTAAAATTTACGTATTTCAAGACAGTAAAGTGAATCATGGAGTGTGGTGGTGGTGGGGCCCTATAAGCTCAGCTGACCAGAGGCCTACCTGTATACGTCGGCTTTCTCGTTGTAATGCTCTCCCCGCACAGTCTCGGGTGATTTCCATCTCAGTGTACCCACTTCACGGGTCATCACCGATGCAGAATAGCGCTGGTACGTCTCACCATGGTTTGTAGAGATGTCCGTGAGCAAAGGAGTTGTCAGACTGGTTTCCTCTTGTTCTGTATTCACTCCGGGATCCAAGGAGTTGCTTGTCACGATACGCGTAGGTTCAGTTGGAATCTGGTCGGCTGCGTCAGCGAGCTGATTTTCATCGCCATCTGTATCCGCGAGGGTCGCGGTATCTGCGCTGTGGGTCGTCTGGTTGTCAGCCTTGTCAGGATCTAGAATCGCCATGAACCGTGACGTGCCCAGGTCTCCGATTTTCACCACCCACTTGTCGCTGACTAGCAGGTTGGGAGACTTCAGGTCTCTGTGCAGACGTGGCGGGTTGGAGCCGTGCAGATATGCCATGCCGCGGGCCGTGTCCAGGGCGAACCTCAAGCGATCGTGATGTGTGAAGACATTGTCTCTGTCGTGGAGCACGTGATAGAGCGAGCCCCGCCGCAAGTACTCCATGACGAGAAACGGTCGTTTACTTGCGTGGTCAGTGCCGGCTCCCAGGAATATGACGATATTAGGATGTCGAATTGAACGGAGAACTTCAGCTTCTTGGATAAAATGATCAGTCAGCGAAATGTTTCTACCTGTATATTTCGGTAGTACTTTCACAGCTACCAGCATGTCGCTGAACTCTGCTAGCCACACTTGCGAGAAAGAGCCCCTGGCCAGTTTCTTGGTGCGGTTGAGCGATGACCACTGTATTCTTGCTCCGATGTTGATTTGGTCTAGCTTCTTCTGATACAGTCGCATACTCTTGTGTTTGTCCTGCAGTTCTCTCTCCTTGAACTTGAGTTGCTGGTTTCTGTTGTGGTACTTTCGGGTAGCGAGAGCAATGGCCGACACAAACAGGAGGATGGCCGTCGCAATGGATAGGCTGACTAGTGGCACGCGACAGTTATCGTATGGCACGAAGCCGAAGTTACAGTGACACACAGGTATCAGGTTTTTGTCTACCACACACACACCATGCCCGCTGCACAGCTGACCGTGGCAGGGAGACGGAGCAATGCAAGCTTCGGAGCCTTCTGCTTCGCTTGTCGTAAAGTTCGGACACGGCCTGCACCCGGCATCCAGCGAATCTGAGAATGCTCCCCTCTGGCAAGGCTGGCAGGTTGCGTTCAACAGCTGATAGCCTCTCGGACAAAGACTCTCAGTTATCGTCATATACCTTGATCCCGTCCTGCTGGTGGGCGATCCATCCACACCACCGAACAAATAGAGTTTTTCTCCTCTTACCACGTGACGACCACGTTTGTGGCTATGAGCGAAAAGTGGTAATAGTTTTGCCACTGTATGCATAGAGCTGAAGTTCAACAGAATGAGTTGGGACAGTGTAGCCTTATCCCCTCCGAATACTAACAATCCATTCTGGTTGTACCGTGTTAGGCTGGCGTAGCGTCTGGTCAGGACGCATGGCGTTAGCGGGATACGCCGTACTCGCAGGGTTTCTGTGCCGTTGCGCATCACCACCCTGAGAACTGTGAGAGATTCGCTGCAAACGTTGGGACTAACGTGACCGCCGAACACGTAGTGCAAATCTGCATGTGTCATTGCCGCATGACCATAACGCTTTGCCAGAGGACCACCGAGAATACTGTGCGGCTGTACTTTCTTCCATACTCCTTCGCAGCGGTCATCGTGTGTCAGATGCAATATCCAGACTTCGGATAGATCGTGAGATGTGATATGTTCTTTTCCACCGTAAACAAGAAGACGTCTGTCATCAAGACGAACCGCAATGTAGTCACTCCGCATCGACGGAGATCCTGCCTTCCCCTTGTCCACAAATTCATCGCATGTATTATGATCAATTCCTATGCACCAAGCGACAATAGTTTTGTAGCCATATCCGATCAGAATGGCGGTCCGATTTGACAGCTTCGTTGTTGTAGCGCCACTGAGCACCCTACCTTGGCAGTTTCCCAGGTCCATGATCTCATACTCCTCGGTCTGCACCGTCAGAGTCCACACAACGGGTGTACTGACATAACGCTGTCCGTCTAACGTTGGATGCGACCATTCGGTAACAAGGTCACAGTTCGATGTTGGGAGAAACATCACTCGCTCCTGACTACCTCGACCGTGAACAATTGGCGTGGGTGTCAGGCACCCAGGTTGTCCGGGAAATATACGGTTCAGCGAGGGCCATTTGTAAATATTCTTCTCCAGAAATTCATGTCCCACTACTGAAAGCAAGCCGTTAAAAGAAATGTCCGTGGACGTCTTAATTGTCAAGCTAAACACTTGCTTTCCTATCCCGTACAAGGCACCCGAAGCTGCGCTGACGGCGTAGAAGTGAAGCGGAGGCACTGTCCTATCCTTATGTGACACAGCCAGTCGGCATTGGGGAGTATCACTTGAAGAACTGCTTAGATTGCAGAGGTACGAGCCCTGCAAGAAGTGGATTAAAATCTGCGACTGGTTTCCAAACAGTACTGCTCGAGGATAGTGAACCATTGGGCCTGTCACTGACGGCAGCATACTCTTCAGAAGGCAGACATTAATGACATTCTGGTGACGCGTCCATCTGCGCGTGTGCAGATCGAACATCCAGAGCGTACAGAAACGCTGCCGATTCCTTCTATCCATTTGGCCATCATTGTTGTAATTCGTTAAGCCGCCGTGAAGAATCAGCGTGTTGTTCCACACAACCAGAGACGGGAGAAGATTTGGACCAGGTCGCACGGGGGACTGGGATTCAGCCACAATTTCCCAGGTTCCTAATGTTATAATACCTTCCTTCGTGGTGTGAATATGCACCCGTCGAAGACGTGATACCACAGTGCAAGATTTTCCCAAGTCGTAATTTCTCCACATCTGTTCGGTTATCTTGTTTTGGCAAAGAAGCTCTCCGTAAGCTAAAATCCAATAGCTTTTTTGATCGTCATCTGTGTCAGCAAGTGTCACTATCGACTGTAGGTATCTGTGGCTAGCACTACTACTTGTATGTGCTTCACGTGACACCACCTTTCGTAGCGTCATGTCTCGCCAAACGTACATTACGTTGCACTCGTCCAACGGCCCGAAACCGTACATGATCAAATCCTGCCTGGATGGGGAAGTGGCCAAAGAAGGTGTGAAGCCATGGGGGGTCCTACACTCCACGCTTAACCCTGGATACGTCAGCGTGGCAATATGTCTCCACGAGATTACTACCGCTTCAGTATCCATTGCCATTAGGTGGTCCACTCTGTATCCGGGTTTGCCCTTCATCCAGCGAAAGCTTAGACTGACGATTTGCTCAGTAAGGCGAGATTGTTCTGGCTTCAGGAAAAGAGTTGTGGAAGGAGTCGGACGAAAGCTAAGGCGATCATAATCATCATACGTACTACGTTTAGGGTATTCATAAACGTACTGGGTTAGTATAGGGCTGCTATCTCCTTGCTCCCGTCCATCTAGTGCAGTGGCAGGGTTTGGAGCAGAGATCGATTTGATAAGACAGATGAGGGTCAGGAGAGTTATTTGTTTCATCACGCACCTGTCTGTGCGGCACGTCAGCACCATGTCTAATCCCACCACATCAGGTCTTCAGAATGCACGTGGTGTGGAATTCTGGGGACGAAACGCTGACAAAGGTGGAAACAGCCTCTCGTCACTTACAGTCCAACTAGTGAAGAATACAATGTAGCTAATGGCAAAGGACAAGACTGATGCCAAAGTGTGTCTGGCGGCAATATCAATAATAATTATTCTGAGTCTTGCCTCGTCTCCACAGTCTGCTAATATGGTTTCCAATCCTGATCTTCAGACATTTTCAAGATCTGTAAAATACGGGCGTAACTAGTTGAAATACATGCCAGCTTACCCCACGGGACTCATGTCCTAGGAATCCAAGGCGCAGACCGATTGCAGACGTGCGACAAATCGACCTGCTTATCTGACTTCCTTCCTTCACAAAAACTCCGCCTATTAACAAACCCATGTGCACATTAAAAGTGCATCGTCACTGGCCTTTGCAATGTACATGTACATGTACACTCAATCTACAGATAGCATGCACATGTACATGACGATTGTATGTATATTCGGGTTATGGAGATTGAGTGCAATCGGGTTATACAATCATGCATGTACATGTACATGACATTGTACATGTACATGTACACTATGTATATCCTCGATAGGCGTTAGTTAGCCTTTGGGTTATCCTGGAATGAAGATTATCATAATATTTAGCTCGGATATTGAGCCAGTAAATATGAATAAAATAGATGAAATCACATGGAAACGAGTTATGAAGCAACTATCCACGACTGTAACAAGATAAAAAGCAGTCAGAAAGTGCGATAACCAGGTCTCAGGTCGTTGAATGTCTCAGTAGCCTGTCAGTTTTGTGCCCTGTTAATGTTATCGCACTTTCTGACTGCTTTTTATCTTCTTACAGTCGTGGATACTGTATCAGTACAATTTTTCGTTTGGAATTAACTTTCCCTATATTCGTTAGGGGCACGAGATAACTAAAGTTTGTACCAAACTATAGGTCTCTTTCTGAACGTTCGGTGTGACAGACCTTGACTAAAGACGAAAGTTAGTACGTAACAAGCCTGCTGGTCGAGTGATCTCACGGAAGATTTCGTGAACGAAAATTTGGTACTTACAGTAGTTGGTTCATAACTCGTTTCCATGTGATTTCTTCTTTTTTAATTATCATAAAAATTAGTATTACGTTTCGATGTGTGAAGAAGGTGCTGAGCGCGTGGTCACTGCTTGGAGTACGACTACACCATCGCTTAGTGGTAGAGCATGGCTGGGCGGTGGCCATGACTGGCATGAGCGAAGGTCCTGGTTTGAGCCATGGTGGGGACGGTCAATTTTTTCTTCAGACTTTTCGCTTGTCCAACTTTCCCTCAAACGTGTGAATGTTATTATTCCATGCACTACTTCCGGTGGGGAAAGTGCAGAGTTGTAGTGGTAGGAAAGCAGGCGGCTATTCTATCACTGTGTTTTCCGGTGTGTTGGCCGCATCGGGTCGCAGCCGCTCCCCGCCCCCTCCCCATTTCGTGCTCAGATTCCGTTTTTGTTGACATTCACTGGAACACTATACCAGTAAGCTGTAACTCGGACTTTGAGTGTTTTAGTCTGCCTACTTGTGCCAGTGGTTGTGAGACTTTTCCACTCACCCCTACCGTTAGGCGCTGCATGTGTTGCCATTTTTTTATACGAGAAACCACGAACCTCGAGAACAGAATATGTTTACCGGGTGTTAGCAGCCGTCGTGAGTTCCTTTCGGGAACGGACACGCGAATTTGCTTACATGTACTTTAGGAAATTAGAGGCCCCATGTCTCGTAGAGTCGTACTGCTCTTTTCTCTCCGAAACTCAACACTTGCAAGCCAGATACGAAAAGAGCAGTACGAGGCATGTGGCTTCTAATTTCCCAATACTTAGAAATTCTCCATGAAGTCCAAATTTGAAATTACATGTACGTTACATGTATCTAAATGGGCTTCAACTTGATATCTGAGGATTGGTCGATAGCCATGAAAGTTTGAAACTGCGAGTAACAGCTTACACAATATGTAGTTTAGCTCCGTTCCATAGCTAACATGTCTGTTGGCTCTGCCCTCGTTGTGTTAATCACTTTTTGCAACAGTTTAGCAGCATAGCTTGCGGGCACCAGTGCAGACAATACGTCATCAATGGTTTTTTAAACAGTTGAAAGGCATGACTAAAGTTCTAAGAAAAGTTTCCTAGTTTTGTCCTTCACTGTGAACAGACAATAATCATGTAGAAGTTTGGTACTAGTGCAATGATGGATTGCAAAACACGAATATCAGTCGACTGACACCACACATGACTTTGTATTTAATATACATGTACATGTGCAATACATGTACATGATGTGTGATGTATGTGAATTCGTCCTTTCCCTGAGCCTGCGTTATCGCCGAACACACTCTATACTGGTGGCGTGCCAACTCATTGACAAGCAGAATGGCTCTGCCTGTTTCATGTATTATAATGTAAACGAAAAGGACATATGGATACGAGTTTTATGAGTAACTCTCCATCACTGTAACTAGATACTATTATACAGTCAGAAAGTGCAACAACTAGGCACAAAACTGACAGAGTACAAAACTGACAGAGTACAAAACTGGCAGAGTACTGAGACATTCGACGTCCTGACATCTAGCTAGAGTTATTCTTAATTCGTATCCATTATATCCTTTTCCTTTCTACATTTATTATTGGCTCAACATCCGAGTATAATGTATAGCTACGTGAACACATCTCTTCATCATTTCTAGGAACTGGCCCCCGGCCGGTGAGAAGGCATCCTTGCCTAGTGTAAATCTGATGAAGTAAAATAAAACAACAGCAAAAGCAACAGCAACAGCAACAGCAACAGCAACAGCAACAGCAACAGCAACAGCAACAACAACAACAACAACAACAATCTCTTATTGGCCACTGGCTATCGTGAGAATAAAGATTTGAAACAACAACAACAAAAACAACAACAACAACAACAACAACAACAACAACAACAACAACAACAACAACAATAACATCCAAGTGATCCACTCCACTGGTCTAGAACCTCTGAGACTTTTTTTAATGCAGTAACCGGGGGCCGTCCGGGGTTGCCGATTGTTTTTACAAAACGAAAGGTTTTATAATTTTCAGCTCGCACCCACCCACCCACCCACCCACCTTTTCTGAAGGTAAAACGAATTCGAATTCGTATTCAGAGTAACTGTAACAGAACTGCGGTCGGCACGATTTCCTGTCGGCTCTTCAGTCACAACATAGAACATGTTTTATGGCCCAGAGATCCCAGTATATACATGTATAAAGCTAAAATAATAATTAAATATATACCCCATCCTCATGTTGCCTGATGATTGCCAGAGCATGAGACTAATTGAAGTAGCAGCAAACAAGCGTTGATTGTCCTTGTTGTTCTGTATTACGCTCTACCCCCGCGGTGTTGAGCACTGTCAGCACACTGGTTGCATCCTTCGGTGTACATGTACATCATGTACATGAAGTAGACCTACTGTAAACCACAATGTACATGTATGTAGATCTACCCTGTCCCTTGGCCCTAAAAAGGCTAAATGGCCTAATCAGGCTAATGACTCATACCGTCCTTGTACGATTATGTACTACGTAACCATTGAATTAAAGGGGAAGTGCATCGATTTTTCAAGTAGGGTCCAGAAGAAAGACAATTTGATATCGGCTCGAATGGCATATCTCTCGCTTCCATACGATAAGCCAAACTTTTCTTGTATGCTCATGTTGCCATAGCGACCAGAGGAGTGATGACGTACGAAAGGCTTAGCTCCTCCACAGAGAAGGTCGATCACTGCATAAATTGGTCATTTTCAATAGATGACTTGCACAAAGATTGTCTGGGTTCGAGACGGGGCAAGTGGACCTTCTGACTCTGACTTCCCCACCTTTTGAGTTCGTGACTTTCGAAGTTTCGCTTTTTGCCTGACGAACACTGAGCTAGTTTTTTTGGCTAGAGAGTAGAGTTGTTTTGATTCGGCTTGTATCGTCATGCTGAAGCGCTGCTGCGCTCCTGAATGCACTAGCAGACGAGAGATGGAACTGAGGCTCCCATTTCATACGTTCCTTTCCGAGCCGGCCGGCCGGGAGGCAGAAAATTGAGGGAATATTATTTTAGTATCATTCGTGTAGGCTGCAACAAGCACGTCGTGGTCCTGAAGTGTGACTACTTTCCCGCAGTGGAAGCGAAGTCAAGCACAACGAAAGTTTGTGAACGTCTGAGAAAGAACTCGATTCCCTTTGATTCGGCTGCACTAGCTCCAGAGCGACCCTCTCCTAGGACAGACTGCGGAGAGGCCAGGAACCTGCCGAGTCACGAGTGGAAGCCCAAACCACGAAAATGAAGGGTGGAAGGACTGAGTGTGAGAGCCAGATGGCCTTTAGTAGTACTTCAAGTAGTATCTGAGTTGAAGGAGAGAACAAGTGTGCTGGAGAAACGCTGCGAAGTCCTCAGGCCTGATGTGTACTAGCTACTGTTGAAGTCTCACTTGTTCCGATATGAACACTTCATCAGCCCTGACTCTGAGCAGCTGTATCTAGACTTGGACTTAGGCCAGAGACATAGCATTGTAAACCTTACTGAAGCCATATGTATCCAATGCCTGGCTCTAGTGAGAAAGCAGTTTGGCGCAGGCTCGCAAACTATGATTGAATCAGGGAGTGGTGGAAAGTCACATTATACCTCTCCATGATTAGCTGGTAATGACAACGAAGCGGCTCCGGCTGGGTCTCATGGGAAAGTAACTTGCATACCTGTTTAGTTTCAAGGAGGCAACGGTACCCCATGTACTGAAGACATGATTGAACTACATTTTATCTCCTCCTGGGAGAATGTGGAACAAATAATGCTAGAGTGTGTCTGATACACATCACAGTGTGCTGAGTATGTTCATTATTGTGGACGTAACAGAACTGCGCTGTGAGGTACCTTCTGTGTTGGACCTACAGTGGAGCCACTACTCTTCTTACAAATTCCATACAACGGTGAAAGGATTTGTTGGAGCATCATCAAACAGTGCATTCACCTTCATCATACACTGGCTCCGCTGCCTACAGTAATTCACATTTTGTCGGGGCGCGCTGGGACGATACGGAAGGAGCGACGGGAACCATTGGAGTGCTCATGATGCTGGTTAGCGGAGACGGATGTGAGTGTCAGGAACGGGAACGCAACCGCACTACTGTACAGGTCAGGAAGCGATGGAAGAGTTGAATCTGTTCAACCTTCCATGCCGTGTACAATGACACAAGCGTAAAAATGGCTACATTTCGAATGTGAACTGGCGATGGCATTGTGTGGCGACGAACACAACTGCAACTGTTCAAATTTCAGCATTTCGAACATTATGCTTCCCATGATAACTCACCGAATGGCTCACATGACGGAGTTGGACATTACCAGGCTAGGATTATCATTTGCTGTATCTATGGATAGTCCTTGAGTTTTCAGATGAAGTGCTTTATCTTTTACCTGTCGTTCCTTTAGTATGGCACAATGTCCATGGCTGCTTCCTTGTCTTCATAACAGACTGGTATAACCAGCATGATTCTGCTTTATTTGAGAAGAAATAAAACTTTCCTTTCGGAAAGGAAGCCCAGAAACGTCAACCGCCATGGACTGTGCTTTATGACTCTCGTCCATCGACGTTAACCGTCGCAATAACTGCTGCATGTATGTTGTGCTGTGCGAACCGTACAGGATTTTACAGCTCACCCACGCCTTCCCAACAGGCTCCTATACCCCGTACTGTTAGCGTTACATTGAATATGAACTAGGCTAGCACAGTTATCCTTCGTTCTTTTGATGGCGACGGGTAGCATGGAACTTGACGTGTTCTTGGGATCCTCGTGCAGCACTTGCTGTTCCCGGATGCCATATTATTGGGTGCATCGAGGTTGCTTCTATGCTCCTTGTTGTTTAGTAAGACAATTTTTTTATAACTATTTCACCGAAGAATAAGGCAAGAGTATTTTGGGTTGGTTTGGACGCCTGGCTTCTCTTCACATAATATACAGTCATGTACTTCCACTAAATCTACAAGTGCTCATGCATGACTCATGAGCTGCTGAAGACAATGACGGTACTGATCATGTACATGTACATGCCGTGCACCGTTCATTCATGCTGACAAAAAAAGTACACTACAGACGGTGTAGGGTGCCCGCAGTGTAGCCTGGGTGCACAGGGTGCACTTGCCCCGTCTCACTCGCGGCTCGGATCTTTGTGCAAGTCATCTATTGTCTTATTGTATTCACGATGTGAAAGAAGTGCTGTGTTCAATGCTTATAGTGCCGTGAACTATTTGTCGCCCTTCTCATGCATTTCCCTAGGCTGACTGTGCCTTGGAAATGGTTTCCTCCAGGACAAGATGCTTGGAAATCGCCGTCTCTCCTGAGACATTTTCAGCAAACTTTCAAACCTACGACATTATTTCATTCGTCAATCTCCACCACCCGTCGTCTCACCTGGCTTCAGAAGATGTTACGAGAGATAGGAGAGTCGCCAGGAAGCATCACATTCATCTTCAGGAAGTGGAAAGAGCAAACGGCATGGTCCTTGGTTGGGGGAAATGCTGAACGTCTGATTTGTCCCAACCAAGATTTCAGCATTTTGTTCGTCACTATTTTCGCTTGTCTGCTGGTGTCTCCGCGCTCCAGCTTTCTCCTATCGGTGTCACGTCCCAGTACACAACCGAGAGGACTACTAACAAACAGTTCACTGCACTTACAGCATTGAACACAGCCCTTCTTTCACTTCGTGAATACAATAAACCAATTGAAAATGACCAAATTCTGCAGTGATCGACCTTCTGTGGTGGAGCTAAGCCTTTCGTACGTCATCACTGCGCTGGTCGCTATGGCAACGTGAGTATACAATTGGCGATTTGGCAAGTTTGGCTTATCGTATGGAAGAGAGAGATATGCCATTCGAACCGATATCAAATTGTCTTTCTTCTGGACCATACTCGAAAAATCGATGCACTTCCCCTTAATTATTTGTACTTTTTTCACAACCATAGACTTCATTTTGCTCGTAAAAGAGGTCGTTACCCCGAAAAAATTGAATTTGTACTTGTTTTCTACTACGACAATAGCAGCTAGTACTAGATCTACAGTACATCGTGTACAGTGCACTATGCTGGAACGCGTACCCTTTCAAATCTCGGGTTCAAAGGTCGCGGACGTGTAGTTATAGTTGACAAGGCTGGACGTGTTGCATAATCCAACTAAATTATTTCCTGCTAGCCCCGAACGACAACTGGACGTCGTCGTCTCACTCCAATGAAAACCATGATAACTCCCTGCATTCATACGAGTGTAGTCTTTACGAAGTACTTGCTATATTCGTTTGTTGAAGCGCCCTCGCTTAGTAGCTCGATTTTCAATGCCACCAGCTCTGGAGAAGTCACTGAATTATTTGGTCAGAATATCGGGAATGCTCCGCGACAACCTTTCAGTACGGACAACTACAGAGGGGGAGGAACGGCGGCCATCGGCAGGAGAGATCAAGAAGGGTAAGTGAAGTACTTAGTATACATTTTTCGTAGCTTGCTAATGCTGCTTCGAGTGTCACGTTACGTCTGAGTTTATCGATACAATATGTAACTGTCTCGGACAGCTATGCTGCTAGACACGGGGGCATCCGTACTAATGCCTAAAATAGGACATTTGTACCATCGACTCCTTCAGTCTTACACAAGTAGGGCCAAAGGCAACTAGCAATTACTGATCTCTTAGTACTTGTACTTGTGACGCATAGCTGGTATCCGGTTATATTAGTACACCGATGCTGCCTGAAAGCGTAGATCCGGTGACTAAAAGACGTAGATGTGCACTGCAGTTGAACACAAACAGTTGGCTGGCTGCCGGCATGGGGTTTAGTCAGCACGGACTCCAGTGTGCTCTCTTTGTCCTGGGTGTTCACTGGTCGTTCTTTGGACACGCACTGCTTGTCGACGTGGCCATCCAACTGGTGCAAGGCTGCAAGCAGACACCCGTGTGCTTTCCTTAGCCTTTAGTAAGTTCCCTTTAAAATGGTTACTAGTACGTTAGTCAAGCAAGCATCTGTCACTGATCCTCGACTGTACCCAACAAACTCCGCCAGTCTATTTCAGTCGTGCAAGATGAAACCAAACCCAAACTGGATACTTGGCTGCTGACCGCTAGAACTCAGTTCCGGCATCGGCCCGCCTTGCTGCTTCACCGAGTCAATTTCGTATCGCAATCCTAGATTGGCTAGGGTATCCCATAAGGAGACCATAGGTCTGTGGGGACTGCCCAAGGGAAATATGAATAAATACTATACTATACTACTATACTTAGTTTGGAATCCCAGACTTCCACTCACCTGAAATTCTACCAACGCAGCCGAGAACATGGCATGTTTTACCCATACTCTTTGTCTGTATTCATGAGTGAGGTAAATTGCTGATCAATAAAACTGGACATTGCGATTTGAATACTGGCTGGGCTACAGGGCTCTAGCGGTCTCCAACACTCTTTTGAGCTCTTGGACGTGCTGCCAGTCTGTGTCCATGAGATCGAATTTCACTGGCCTGAGTTGAGCTTTCTGCGCGTGTATGGGTGCACTCAGATGCACAGCGCTGCTCAACGAATCCAGTCGCGTCACTCAAGTTCGCGCCTTGCATCATTCCGCAGCGCAGTGTTTTCAGGTCTATGGCTGCGCAACGCCCGGCGCGTACTTGAGTGACGCAACAGGATTCGTTGAGCAACACTGTACATGTTGTTTGTGCATGTGCATGTATGCGAGTAGACCACGCAGATGTACAGTAAAAGTTCCCTAGTCCAGGCAGGTTGGGACCGAGCACTGCCCGTAACTAGGAATTGCCTGTAACTCAGGAAATACATACTTACTGAATGCGAGTAAACATTTGCAATGACAATCAATAGTTTTTGGGGCCGTTTTGTCGTTGAACTTGCCAATTGTGTGCCTCTAAAATGGGCCAGAAAGGTGCCTGGTAGATGGGCATGCCCGAATTAGGGATGTCTCCGGATCTGGTGAGTTGTACTGTACATGTACATGTACACCCGCTCACCGAGAAGAGTTATGGTTGCTCATGAGAGCGCTCAATGTAGGTGCAGAGCCTAGTACGCACAGCAGCAGCAGCAGCAGCAGAAACGCTTTGATTCCTTCTTTCAAGTGTGTAGGTCTCAGACACACGTACCCCGGTCATGCATCGACGTAATGTGAACTGGGTCAGGCTTGCAGCTTTGCAGTCCGGGTCACAGTTCATGCACCTGATGCAACAGTGGTTGCTGGAAAGGTTGTGCTCCGCAAAGTCCGTCGCATGAAGTTCCAAGGCTTCTGTTTCTGTGCAGAGAGCATACATTGTCGGAAACGTTTTAGTATGATTAAGCGGTGTCAACTCACGAATGTTCACTTCCGATAGAGTTCAAGACAATAATCAGGTCCGGTAGAATGTGCCTGCAAGAGACTATGAGCACCAGAAGTATACGTTGAGCCTATGGAGTTCTGTGTCTGCGATTTCAGAACTTTACATCATGTGAAAGACCCATCCATAGTCGTAATTAAAAGTTTCACACTGTGCATAATAGACACAGGATTGTGTGCAACCCAGCTTTGGGTTCACCTCACTGCTGGTCACGCTGCACTGATTGCGGCAAGCCGTGGCCTATTGAAGCCTATCTCCGGAGCGTGAAGTTCTGCCGTTGTCAAACCACTAAATAGAGGTTGTGTGTGTGTGTGTGTGTGTGTGTGTGTGTGTGTGTGTGTGTGTGTGTGTGTGTGTGCATGTGCGTGTGTGCGTGTGTGTGTGTGCGTGTGTGTGTGCATGTGTGCAGTTGCACACACTCCTGGGGGATATGCATCCTCTTGATGACAGAAACACAAGGCAATGCAAGGATTTGAATGCGGTCAACCTTGATAATAACGACCTGTGATGTTGAATGAGAAAAGTGTCGTTTTTTACGAGTTGTCGATGTCGATTCGTGAGGTCTAATATGCAGTTAACTGGTCACAAGAGCTGAATATTGGCCTTTATTCTGCGCTAGGAGCTGGTGACAAATATTTTTGCTCGAGATCGACTCTCTCGTTTCGCAAGCTCATCTCTCTTCCTCTCTGCTGCCTGGCTATTTTCTAAAGGGAAATCGATCGTGACGGTCGCCTTCTCTATAGGACTTCGCGTGGGCAGCACGACTGCCTGTGTGGTTAAAATCAGTCACCGTTCTTTGCAAGATTTTATTTTGAATGATGACGACACATACAGAACTCGTACTTTCAAATCTCTATGATGCGCTGGATACTCCGAGCGTTGAGCTGGAGGTGAGGGAACTGTGATCTCAGCTTGGCGAGCGATCCCTGAGGTGAGCGATCTGGGCTGTTTTGCAAAATAGAACTGATTCCGAGTAGCCGGTTACTTTCTTGTGCGCCACGCTGCTCTTGCCTGCTCAGTGTGACAAGACAAAGCTGAAAGACAAGCGACAATATTGCGGACGTGGACCAAGTAATATAATTATTTTTGTTAGACCCGGGTGGATGCGTGGTGTTTGTGGATATTATAGCGGGATTTGTAGCTCTTTGGTCCTCTTTTCTTCTTATATTTTAGTGTGCAAGGATAGACTCGGATAGAGAGCCATGCATGAGCATGAGCTAATTGTTAAAAGTAACTGGTGGTGTGAGTGGACATTATAGCGTATCTTGTACTTCCTTGGTCCTTTTCTTTACTATGCATTTTAGTCTTCCTTCCGGAGGGAACTCACCTCACCTCAAAATAACATCGCTGTAGATGCGGTGCCCAGGCGCGTACGCAGGGGGGGGGGGGTTCCCGTTGCCCGGAACCCCCCCCCCCCCCAAATGTTCCAAACGAGCAACGTTTTTGGGCATTTATTGGTAGGGCGCATGATCATGATGATCGATCTGGCAAGAATGCAAAACTTCAAAAGATCGTAACTCAGTCAAATCTCGCTCAAATCCAACGATCCAAATATCCAGGTCGAATAGAAAACTCTCAGCTGTCGGTTGAAATAATTTGTGAAGCGCTGCGAGCAATGTATCGTGTGATAAATCATTCGTAAATAAATGAGCCGCGATCTCGGCAATTTCAAAAGCGCGCAGTGCGACTTGAGTATCGAGAATTTGAGATTTTCGTCGCGCTGATTTGCTCAAATTTGCAGGGGCTTCCCTTGTGATATTTTCAAGAGTACACAGGAAAAATTCGAAACTCTGCGATCAAGAAAAACGAAATCGCTGGAGCAGGACGCGTTTGGGCCTGTTTGGGGCATTTTTCGCACCGTCGCTGCACTCTACCGCTATAGCCTATAGGGCTGGATATGTACATGACTGTACTGTGTCCTGGCTATCAGGGTCGACCTCATTCTCTCCCTGATACCTTTCCACTTCCAGGAAGCCCAAGATAATGAAGATTGAGTGAGTAGAACTGAAGTTATGATCCAAACAACACGAAAAAATGCATAATTTTGAAAATTTCCTAGGGCTCTTTAGGAAGGGTTAAAACTAACACACTTACACCCACTTTGTTACTCGTTGTTTGGGATTCGGTTGGAAACCCCCCTAGAGGTGACCCTGCGTACGCGCCTGGGTGCCTAATGGCTGGGTTGAGGGGATTAGTCTGACGACCAGTGTTTGGTATTGCTCCTACCGCCGCAACACCAACATTGGCTGGCTCATGTCCAAAACCTACTGTGATGGTACAGTTTATTTCCACCATCACACAGCAGCAGAGCCAGGCTAGTTTACCCGCAACTCCGAGTTCCATGCCAGCCTGGAACACTGGGTGCGCCCTGGGACTGGTGGTTTTGGTTTCCTAGACTTGGCAAATTAGTAACGAATGGTGTTTTCTTCAACGAATATTCTCTCGAATAAAATTATTGCTTTGCCAAACGAACGAATATTCTATTATTCTTGTGATGTGAGTCGATCACTTCACTCCATCAGACCCAACATTCATGTTGCATACAGATCACATTCCCACTGGTTACAGAGCGGATTTTACCCAAGAACAAGCTTCACAGTTCTCAGAAAATAATTTCGATACTGTCATCCTCAATACTGTTCAGGGGATCAAGTTTGGAGCTAAATAACAAAACCAAAAGTGCCGATTTTTCGAATTTTCGAATATCGAATAGTGCCGCCTGCATTCGAATATTCTTTCTGGTGTTAGTATTCTAGAATATTCGAATAATTCGAATATTCCTTACATCACTACAAATTACTCATACACTCACGCACCCGGATACCTGGTGTACTCTTTGAAGATGCCAAGTCACGGAATGTTGAGTGAGTGGTTGGCCATCGATCATATTAAATTTTAAAGGTGCATTGTACATGTATGTACGACTCACAAACTGACAAACTGTAGCCCTGGGCGTGTGAATGTGTCAGACACAACAGTGTACAGTACACATTGTATCATGTACAGTCAGACCTCGCTTATCCAGTCCACTTCTATCCGGATCCCTCGCCATCCGGAAGAAAATCTCTGGTAACCGATTTACAGCATACATGTACAGGTAT